TAGTCGGACATCGTATTCATGACAATACATGAGGCCTAGTGCGGCCTTGCATAAGCGGTGCGGTCATGCAAGAGGAGGTGCGGTTGCACCTTGGTTCGACTGGGAAGAGTCTTGTTTCATTTGGCCTGATTGATCGATTATAGCAGGAGGCATCGCGAGAAAGAGATGAGGCAACTCTAGAATACCTAGGTTTGGTTGCTCATGTCTATATATACCCCCCTACCTTTCTTTTGAGAATTTCAAGGGTTAGAGTTTAAAGAAGAGTTAGAATTGAAGTAGAAAAGTGAGAATTGAAACCCTAGCCCCAATTCTGAAAATCCAACCCTTAATTTTAAAACCCTCCCCTTGTGAATTTAACCCTTTAGCGTTGGTGTTCTGTTTGCTATTTGCTAAACATAATCAAAGCAATTAGATCAATGGAGATGTCTACAATGTACTCAAAAATAAATATGTAAAATTTTTTCTCTTTTCGATTAATGATCGTAGCACAACTAAGACTCATTTGATTCATGTTTTGTTTCATGTTTTGAATTTCAAAAATGACTTTAAAAAGCTAAAAATGTAAAAGAAAAACTTATTTGACACATATGTTTTGTCTATAATTTTTAGAAATCTATTTTCAACATAAAAGAATAACGAGTTAACTAATTACAAATCAATAGAGTACAAATGAAAACTGTATGGTCATTATTTTTGACATGTTCACGTGGTAGGACCTTGGGTCGACATGCCACATGGTAGGGCATAGCTGGCCGAAGTATAGAAATGATCTATGCCTAGGTCGAGATATGTGACAAATGACAATGAGTCCTAGAGAAAAAATGACTTTTAGGTCGGGTGTAGTTAGACCATCTCCAACGATTCATCAAAGTTGACATCAAATTTAAAATTTGATGAAAAAGTTACTGTTTGGTGCTCCAACGGTTGCACCAAATCGATATCAAAATGAGATTTCACCAAACAATTCATCAAACTGAGGACAGAATACTGATTTCATCAAAACACTGTTTGTGACCGTTGGGGGAGACCAACCGGTCAACCAGCCGG